AACAAAAAGAATGTTCTTATAACGTAAACCCCATGCGATAAAACAAGACAGTCTCCGCCAGAAATGCTCCAAGAACATTTCGTGGAAACCACAACAGGTTCTTAGAACATTCTGTGGTCGGGCTATAGGCAAGCCCGGACGCTTCGCCACTGCTTGAGAAATGCCTCTCGAACCTCGAGTCCTTCGCCGCCCTCTCCAGCCCCGTGCCGCCGGCCGGTCCTTCAGCTCCCCCTGGTAGACCGCGCCGTAGCAGCCCGTGCCGAGCTTCTTCGAGGGGTGCCTGCGCCGCGGGGGGGGGGGGCGCTGTGGCGCCCTTCCTTTGTCATCGCCGTCGTCCTCCGTCCTCCTCCTCCTCCTCTCCTCGTCCTCCTCCTCCTCCTCCATCGTCCTCCTCCTCCTCATCCTCCTCCTCCTCCTCCTCCTCCTCCTCCCTCTCTTCTTCCTTCTCCTCCTCCACCTCCTCCTCCTCCTCCTCCTCCTCCTCCTCCTCATCCTCCCTCTCTTCTTCCTTCTCCTCCTCCTCCTCCTGCTCCTCCTCCTCCCCGGGGCCCTAGGAGCCCCGGAGGGAGGGGCAGGGGGGAGGAGAAACTGGGACCCGAGGGGGAGGACGAGAGTGTGCCTAAGCTGTTGTGCACATTGGGAGGGAGTACGGAGGGGGAGGAGCAGAGGGGGACGATCACGAGGGGGAGGGGGGCGGAAAAGATAGGAGAGTCCACGCCATGTCTGACATTCTACCCTTCCCACCTTTCCCTTCTGATTGCGCGTATTGCGTCCCGTTCTAAACCGCTCGAGGCGACAAGTTCTTACGCGCCATCGCCTTATCATTCTTAGGAACACGAGAAGTGATATGTCTGCTGATGTTCCCTCCTCCTATCACCTCCCTTTTCCGCGGCAGATGGACTGTCGCAACAATGCTTTCGGTGCCAGCCCCAGCTGCGGCGACGCCAGGGGCGAGACGATGAACACGACGACGACGACGACGACGACGACGAACCGGACCATCCAGGTAGACCAACCAGACCAACCGGACCAGCTAGCCGTATGACCACCGAAGCCCAGACTAGACTAAGCAAGTCAACATGCCCGGACCAAGCAGACAAGCCCAGACCAGGCTAGGCAGATCAACTTGACTGGATCAAGTAGACTAGCCAGACCCGCTAGTCAGACCAGCCAGACAATCCAGCCAGACCAGCCAGCTCGACCAACCAGCTCTAGCAACACCACTATACGACAAACAAAACTGCAATGCAAAACAAACTGCAATGCACAAACACCTGCCGTGCAAACACATAGGCTTCCGTGTCGTCATCTCCGACACGTGCGATTCAAACCTCCCTGAACCGCCCCAAACCACGATTCGCTCGCACGCGGAATCCTAAGCTCAAGCTCGAGCAGCGCCACTACAGCGCAAACAAACCTGCAATGGACACAAAACTGCAATGCATCAACAAAAACTGGAATGCAAACAACAACAGTTTTCGTGTGGTAGTCGCCCACATGTGCGCTTCAACAGACCCTGAACCTCCCCAAACCGCGCTTGGCTCCCACACGGAATCCTAAGCTCAAGCTCGAGCAGCACCACTACAGCGCAAACTACACATGCAGTGTCAAAACAAGCTCCAATGCAACAACTGCAATGCAACAAAAACAATTTTCGTGTGGTGATCGCCGACATGTGTGCTGAAACCCCTGCTGAACCGTCCGAAAGGAGGCTTGGCTCGCTCGCGGAAACGTAAGCTCAATCGAGCTCGAGCTGCGCCACTACAGCGCGACAAAAAGCTGCAATGCCAAGAACAATGCAATGCAACAAAACCACTGGAATTGTGGTGTTCGCCGACATGTGCGCTGCAACAACCCCTGAACTTACCCAAAGTAAGCTTGGCTCTCACGCGGAATCCTGGGCTCAAGCTCGAGCAGCCGAGCAGCTAAGGCGAAGCTTACGTCTCAAGCTTTGAGCTTACCCTTGTGAACCTTGGCGTCCAGCCGTGCGATGCAGCGGTTAAGAACTTTGTCCGCTGTCCTATTGGACCTGGACTCTCAAAGTGACCCCATCCTGTGACGCGCTCAAAAAAAGGAGGTGGCGGATGAGCAAAAGCTCAATGGGCCCTTGAAACGGCAAGGCCGTTCTTCACCGTTTCCAGCAAAACTGTCGCTTGAAAATGGAGACGCCCACAAAATGGCGACTGGAAACGGCAACAAAAACGGCTCCGGGATGGGAACCGGAGCCGGAACTTGACACAAACTGGCGACGGAACCGGCAACAAAATTTGCAAAACGGAACCTGTAAAAAACAACCCTGCCGTTGCCAAGGCCCACTCAGAGCAGGAGGATAAGCTGGAGGAAAAATATGAGGACGACGAAAGCGATAGGCTAGGATTGGGAGCAACGCCAACATGAGCAGGATGAGCGGAAGGAGCGGGCGGACGGATGAAGAGAAATCTACGCCAAGGGGGCGGGCCTAAATATGTCCCCGTGCGAGCCCCAAGAGAGCTTCAAGAAGATTTGGTGTCAGCGCCATCATCTCTGAATGGCTTGCAGAAAAGTGGTGGCAACAACAACGAATAAGGAATCGCGTTGGAGCGAGAACGCCACTCTGAACGGTGGGGTAGATGGCCGACTGGTAAGTGAGGCCACCGTTTCAGCGGGTACACCGTTTTGGAGACAACAACAACAACAATCATTACAAGACCTGTCTCTCTCATCTGTTCGCGTAACACTCAACAAGAATATTCCCGAACCCTCGATACCCGCCCGCTTCGTCTTCGATCGTACCCCCATTGGGGGTATGCCTTACTCACCCGACACGCGTAGTTGGCGGAGCCGCTGAAACAAGGGGAGTAGCGAAGGGACACGGGGGAGAGAAACAGTTGCGACGTGCGAGCGCTCATCGGATGAGGTGAGAACGGAGAGTGGCGGATGTTATCGAGTCGCAGCAGCGACAATCCTCGTGCCAAGAGGGTGCCTGTGGACACGCATGCACATCATTGAAACACAACGCATGAGTTCAAGATCACCAAATACATAAGAAGCATACGAACCTGTATAGCCCGCCCGCCCCAGTGTGAGTGAGCTGGAAACTCCTCACAGCAAAATGCAACCTAAGACTGGTCAGCCCCAGAAGCTCTGAGCCTGTCGCACAGGAGAACAGCAGTTCTGGAGCCTTCAGTGGAAACCGACCGCCGTGCCTCTGGTACGAGTGGAGTTCCCCCAGACTCACAACTGTGCTGCTGATGCAGCCAAGATTGTATGTTCTGAAGGGCCCAGACCACCAATTTCCCGGGCGTTTCCAGGCACTCTCGGGCGCACCCTGAGTGTTCTGCATGGGTTTCTGGGGCGGCTGCAACGCCCCCAACGACCCAGAGAACTTCGCGGAGTCCCCACCAAGCGCCCAAGACAGTCACGGAGCGCCTCTGGACGGCCCGAAGACGCTACAAGAGGCCCCCAAGAAAGCCCCAAGAGGCACAAATTGTCCCATTCCCGTGGGGAAGCGTATAAATTTAGGAGTTTCGCCTCGTGGGCCAGCGTCCAAGACGGCCCCAAAAGGCCCCCAAGATCGCCCCAAGACGGCCCAAGAGGCCTCCACGATCGCCCCAAGACCGCCCAAGAGGGCCCCAAGACGGCCCAAACCACTCCCAAGACGGCCCCAAAAGAACGCCCACAGGGGGAACCCGGATGGACATTTCGAGCCTTCGGGGTGCCCTCTTCTTGCGAACGCCGATCTGGGTGCCCCTGCCGAGTCGCTTGGCCGCACCTCCGTCAGTGATCCTTACGTCGGGCATGTCCTCCTACAGGCGGACCTTGGACGAAAAGTGTGACATGCGAGAAGAATATTCAAACATAGCCCAACATAGTCGAAAAATCGTCCCCAGACTATCTTGTTACTATGCTTTTAAAATCCTCCAGTAGAGGGACAAGCCCGACTTAACCACGGCCTTGGGCGATGCAGCAACGGGAGCCGCCTCCGCTTGCACACGCCGCTCCGCGCGAAGGAGCCCGCGGGCTCGGGGCGGCAGGGCAACTCGCCGAGAGAATCGACTGTGTGAGGGCACTGGACCTAGCTGGCCGCGGACTAGCGGCATCCACGGGTGCCCCTGCGAAACACACTGTCTTGAGCCAAAATGGCCACGGAGGGAAAAGGAGGAAGGGGAGGAAGGAGAAGGAAGGGAAAAGATAGTGTTAGATGCCCAACTGCACCTAGTTCCCAGGAAACACATTGTCTTGAGCCAAAATGGCCGCGGAGGGCCAAGGAGGAAGAGGAGGAAAAAGAAGGAAGAAAGATCATGTCAGATGCCCAACTGCATCTGTCTCCTGGGGGAACGCAATCTGAGGGATGGATGTGTTATCAAACGCTAGGCCTGCAATTCAGGTTAAAACGTGTCGCCCGTGTCGGGCTCGGACCTGAATCCAAAAGTATACGGGGCGAAGGGGACGCAACCACACAGAGAGAGGAGACCGCTGCGCCACGCAGAATCGACTGAGAGACTGGCCCGTCCTATGCTAGACTCAAGCGATACCCGCTGCTGCCCTACCTTGCCAACGTATGATGAATCTCGAGGCGGACTGGCAAACCTGTCCTCCGGTTCAGCTCTACAGGAAGCTTGGCATGCCATCCGCCTCAGAGCTTCACTCGGTTGAAGTCGAGCGGGTTCGACCCAACACACTTGCGACGGGGTCATCCATCTGGGCGGACGAAACGGGGTGGGATAGCCCAGGCAGGTCCGTACACCCCGGTCCGCTGAGGGACCGCAAGAGTCAGTTGACGCGAACAGATCTGCCCAGGGAGCCGTATCAAGAAAAACGCCCAGCGGCGGGGCCGACCGCACGCAGGGCGTGTGTATATATATATATATATATATATATATACACATGTATTTATATATATATACATATATTATAGTCATGGATAGACTTATTGTTGTATATCTAGATATATGCCCTTTTAACTCTATCAAAGACATGTTTCCCACTTCCCCGCTGTCGTCCGACCCCAAGGTGCGAGGCTAGTCGTCGCCCGGGACGTCCTCCTCGTCGTTGCCGTTGCTGCCGCCGCCCGTGGGCGCGATGTTCCATTTCGAGTTCTTCTGCAGCTCCAGGGCCAACTTCCAATTCTCAGCGGCCAATCGCTCCTCCTGGAATCTAAGAGGTGGGGCCCCGAGACATTGGGCCTTAGGGCGAGGTGGCCCTGAAACATGTAGTGTCAGAACTCGGATTTCAACCTGGAAACCTTTCCTGTTGGCTGGGCCCCATCTTTCAGGCTGAGGAGGCAAACCAACGGCAAATTAACACTAATAACAACTTAAGCCCCCCCTTTTATTTGAACACCGCATTAAAACGAAACAACAACAAATCCCGTGGGTGATTCGAATGATTTAAAAGGTATGATATGCTTAGCACCGCGCAAACAACAAACATAACAAACAACATCCGCCCAAGCTGGGTTCGCCTCGGCGCCGCGCACACTCACTGAGAACATGTTGCAGGAGCTTAACGGACCGAGGGCTGACAAACATCAAAACCTACCCCTGGCCTCAGCGCCGCGCGCATTCGCTCGCTTAAACATGCACGACTTTCACGGATTGAAAGCGGCAGATTGTAAAACATCTAGCTCTGGCCTTAGCGCCGCGCACTTTTGCATTAACGAATTTAACGAATTTCACGGATTGCGGGCGGCTCGGTTTCAAAATCAATGTCCCGTCTCAGCGCCGCGCACTTTCGCTTTTAAGGATGTGCACGATTTTCACGGATTGAAGGCGGCCCGTTTTTGTTCCGACGAGAAAAAAACTCGCACCTTAACGCCGTGCGCATTCGCTGTCAAAATGTGAACGAACTTGACGGGCTGAGGGCGGCTCGGTTTCAAAATATAGCTCCCGCCCGCCTTCAACATCTAACTGTCGCCTCCGCGCCACGCGCATTCGTTTTCTCAAGTGTGCACGAATTTCACGGAGCGACAGCGGCTCGATTTCAAAATCGAACTGTCGCCTCCGCGCCGGGCACCTTTTACTGTGCACAAATTTCACGGATTGAGGGCGGCTCGTATTCGAAATCTCGCTCTCATGTCAACACCGCGCGCATTCGTTATAAAACTCTCCACGAATTTCACGGATTGGGGGCGGTTCGGGTTCAAGAGATGGTGCTCGCCTCATCGTTGCGCACATTCGCTGTCAAAATTTGCACGCGCTTTGCGAATTGAGGGCGGCTCGGTTTCAAAAATACGTCTCTCGCTTAAGCGCCGCGCGCATTGGTTCTTAAGAATGCGCACGAGCTTCACGGATTGAGGGCGGCTCGGTTTCAAAATATAGCTCTCGTCTCAGCGCCGCGCGCATGTGTTTTTAAAACTGTGCACGAGGTTGACGGATTGGCGACGGCCGTTTATTTGTAATCAAACTCTCGGCTCAGCGCCGCGCCCATTTTTGAAAATGTGCACAAGCTTCACGGAACGAGGGCGGCTCGGTTTCAACAGTCTGTCTCTCGCCTTAGCGCCGCGCACATCCGCTGCGCGAATTTGCACGAACTGCACGGATTGAGTGCGGTCGGTTTCAAAATATGGCTCTCGCCTTAGCGCCGCGCGCTTGTTGTTTGCATCGACGTCCTAAGCACTGGCTCGTTCAGGAAGGCGTAAGAAGTGACAGTCGTTCCGCATGCCCGCCCCATACAAGTATCGCGCCCACCCCGCACGGAACGATATCTGCATCACCGCGGAACCACGAACATACATATTCCCGCCCGCGAAAAATCGTCATACGCGGAAAAATCAATGCCCACCATCCGACAGGGCGATCCAATGAGACATACATCATTCTACACTAAAAGATCATTCCGATAAATACGACGGGAGAACATCGCAATAGTAATAACACGGATGAACAATGATGGAACGCGGTCGTAACACTATATCCCGGTGGTTTATATATGGTTTTCGAAGAAATGCCCGGAATATTGTCAGTACTACTATTCGTATTTAAATACCACTACGCTTTAACTATCCGAAGGGAACTTGAATCTGAAACTTCGAATCTCCCTATGTGATTTTTATTGTCACCAGAAAGGAGCAATTGAGTTTCGTCGGCCGTCCAAAAAGGTGGTCCATCCCAGGGTATCGCGCCCGCCCCGCGCGGAACGATATCTCGAACACCGTGAACCCGCGATTTACACACATATATATATATATATATATATATATATATATATATCGGTTCTCGCCCGCGGAGCATCGTAGGAACGCGGCACCACAAAAACACAAGCAGTGTCCGCCGTCCGAGAAAGCGAAGATGCTATTATTTAGTCGTGTACATATAACACTGATGGAACATATGAAAATAAAGTGGTAATAGTCGCGATGCTATATGCACGAATAATGCCCCAATTCGATCGTACGTATATTACGGGTGGCTTGTACTTATATCAGACAAATATCCCGATTCTCGTCAGTAGTCGAATTGGTATTCAATCGCATTATTGTATAATTCCAAAGGCGGAACTTGGATCCGCAGTTTCCTTTTTCCTTTCCGAACCACCCCCGCCTTATGCGGTTTCTGTTGCAATCGTTAACGGGAAGTTGATTTTCATCGGCCGTCCGAGGGGGTGGTCAATCCCAGGGTATCGCGCCCACCCCGCACGGAACGTTACCTCTAGCCCATGGGAGCGCGGAACATAACTGATGCACGCCATTCGTCGACACGATAGAAGTATGTAGTAATAGTAGTCGGCGCAAGATCACTATTTCGCAAACAATACTGGCAACTACAAGAACCAGGTACGTTGTTAGAACTGCTGATAAGATTTAGCAGAAGTGGGAATAATAGTAGCAGTAGTGGTAGTAGTAATGACAGAAGCCACAGTCGCAATAATAATAGCAATTCCAATAAACAATGAATTCGCCGGACTTGCCGCAGTACTTAGACGGGCCAAACTAAGCATATGCTGGCGATCGGGTGACGCGGGTTACCCGAAACCCGGTTGGTCACAATTTTGGGCTCACTTCAGTTTCCAAGCCAAAACGGCGAATTTCCCCTTGCGGACACCTACAATATTCCCCACGCAAGCCTCCGCGCGCGCGCGAGCGCGATCGGGTGACCACGCGCGGGCGGGTCACCCGAAATCCGGCTCCACCGTTGCGGGATCACTTCAGTTTCCAGACCACCATGGCAGTTTGCCCAATGTGGACAATAGAAACTTCCTCACGCGCGCGTCCGCGCGCGCATGCGATCGAGTGACCCACGCGCGGGCGGGTCACCCGGAATCCGTTTGGCCACCGTTAAAGGTTCAGTTCAGTTTCCAGACCACAATGGCAGATTTTACTTTGCGGACATAGAAAATGCCCTACGCGCGCGCCCGCGCGCGCGAGCGATCGGATGACCCACGCGCGGGCGGGACATCCGAAATCCGGCTGGTTACTGCTAGTGTTTTACATCCGTTTCCAGGCCAGGCTAACATGCCGACTTTTTCATTGTACGCAAATATAGAATTTCCCACGCACGCGTCCGCGCGCGCGCGAGCGCAATCGGGTGACCCATGTGCGGGTGGGCCACCGGGAATCTAGTTGGAGACCGTCACGAGTTCACTGTAATTTTCAAGGCCGTCATGGCGAATTTCCCCATGTGGGCAATACAAAACGCGCCACGCGCGCGTCCGCGTGCGCGCGATCGGGTGCCCCACGCGCGGGCGGGTCACCCGAAATCAGGTTGGCCATCGTTCAGGGTTCCCTTCGGTTTCCAAGCCGACAAAGCGACTTTTTTCCATTGTGGGCAATCGAGAAGTCCCCACTCGCGTTTCCGCGCTGGCGCGCAAGCGCGAACGTTTAATCCACGCGCGGGCGGGTCACCCGAAGTCCGGTTGGCGACCTTGCCATGGTGGACGATACAAAACTCGCCGCCTGCGCGTCCGCGCGCGCGCGATCGGACAACCCACGCGCGGGCGGGCCACCCGAGATCAAATTGGTCATAGTTAAGGGCTCACTTCAGTTTACATGCCGACACGGCGACCTTTCCATGGTAGACACCGACAGAACTCCCATGCGGCCCATAGGGCCCATATGGCTTACAGGGCTCATGCGGCTCATAGGGCCCATAAGGGTAATAGGGCTCAGAAGGCTGTTAGGGCTCGCGTGGCCCGTAGGGCTCATAGAGATCATAGAGCCTGCGGGGCAGATAAGGCACATGGGACTCATCGAGCTCATGGGGGTCATAGTGTCAAGCGAAAACAATATATTGAAAACAAGCCGCCCTCCATCCGCAAAGTTTTTTGTTGCAAGTATTTGGAACGAATCGCATGCGCGTGGCGCTAAGGCGAGAACCAAATTTTGAAACCCAGCCGCCCCCAATCCGTGCATCTCTTGCAACGCTTTCAAAACCAACGTGCGCGGAGCTAAAGCGGGAGCGAAATATTGAAAACGAGCCGCCCTCCATCCGTGAAGCTCTTGCAAATAGTTAAAACTAATGCATGCGCGGCGCTAAAGCGAACACCATATTTTGAAACCGAGCCGCCCTCAATCCGTGAAGCGCTTGCAACCACGACCGTGAAGTCCTTGCAAATTTCAACATCTGATGTGCGCGGCGCTGAAGCGAGAGCAACGCTAAAAAAAACAAGCCGCCCTCCATCCGTGAAACTCTTGCACCGCTTTCAAAACGAACGTGCAAAGTTTTGCTGCGAAAACCACATTTCGAAGGGCCCCCCTCCATCCGTGAAGCTTGTTCAACAGTTTCACAGTGAGTGCGCGCGGCGCTACAGCGAGAACAACATGTTGAAAACAAACCGCCTTCAACCCGTGAAACGTTTGCAACGTGTTCAAACGAATCCGCGCGGGCTGAAGCAAAAACAACACGTGAAAAACGAACCGCCCTCCATCCGCGAAGCTCCTGCAAACTTTTCAAAACGAATGCGCGCGGCGCTAAGGCAAAAGAGCAACAGTTTGAAAACAAGCCACCCTCCACCCGTGAAGCGCGGCGCTGAAACGAGAAGAACATGTTTGAAAACGAGACGCCCTCAATCCGCAAAAGTCTTTCAAGTTTTGAAAACGAATTTGCGAGCTGGGGCGAGGACAACATTTTGACAACGAGGCACCCTCACACCGTGATATTGTGCAACACGTTTACAAGGCATGCGCGCGGCGCTAAAGCGAGAACAACATTTTGAAAACGAGCCGGCCTCCATCCGTGAAGCTCTTGCAACATGTTCAAACCAAATGTGCACGGCGCTGGGGCGAGGACGACATTTGAAAACGAGCCACCCTCCATCCGTGAAGCTCTTGCAAGCTTGAAATCGAATGTGCGCGGAGCTGAGGCGAGAACCACATTTTGAATGCGAGCCGCCCTCAATCCGTGAAGCTATTGGCTATTGCAAATGTTTGAATCGAATGTTCGCGTCGCTGAGGCGAAAACAGCGAGCCGTCCTCCATCCGTAAAACTCTTGCAACGTTTTGGAACGAATGCGCGCGGCGCTAAGGCGATAACCACATCATCCTTTCAGAGCGGGGATCACGCTTCCCGGTGCGGAAGTGTTATCCTTAATCCGGAAGGGGAGGGGGCAGGGGTTCTTACCACGCGGACCTCCGCAAGCTGATGTCCATGCAGACTTGTCTTCTTGGAACAGGGCGACAAAAAACAACGGCTGTTCAAAATCGTTCCCTGGACCTCTCCCGGGTCCAAAACCACAATGCGTCCGAGCTGCTTCCAGCCGTGGCGACGAGGGCCCCCCGAGCCTCCTCTGATGTTTTTCGACCCCTCTCATTCGAACGAACGGGTCCTCCTTGCGCCGCTCCGCTTCACGCTGTCGGCCCAACTTTACCCGCGTCGTCGCCATCCTGCGGCCCTGGTCTTGTTGCCGTGCGTCGTCGCGTCCCTTCTGCAGAGCCTCCTGCAGCGCATCACTTCCCGAACTGTCGCGCACCTCCCTCCGGACGCGAGCCAGCTCGTAGTTGTAGGCTTTCGCAGACTCGCTCCACTCGCAGTCCCAGCAGCCGCCGCTGCTGCACTTCTGCCATTTGCACTTCTGCTCCCAACGGTCGGCGGACTAGAAGGCAGCGCGCCACGAGGCTGTCCCACCGCGGGGGGCACGCGCGTGACGGGGCGGCCGAACACCTCACACGTTCACGCGTCGCCGGCGCGTTCGTCCGACGTCGCGTCCTTGCGCACAGCACTGCCCTGCTGCTGCAGGCACGGGAGGGGGCCCAGTCCTGGGCCTCGGACCTCTCCCTGGGCGCGTGCTGACCAGGAGGTCGAGGCGAATCCAGCGGTGGCGACGAGGCCCTCTCAGGAGGCCCGACAAGGAGGAAACGTGGGAGGTGTAGAGGTATGGGTACCTTGTCCTCCTCTGGAGGTCCTGAGCGAGAAGGGGCCTGGACCCAGGGGCCATGGGTGGCTCCAAACAACCAGCTCTTCACCCATGCAGCATTTTTGTTGCCCATGGAGGGCCCCTGAGGCCCAGAAAGAGAGCAAACTATGGTGGCAACTCATGGGTACTTCCCATTCCATCTTGTCGGCTCTTGCGAACCGATGCTGATCGACGCAGAATCGACGCGAATCGACGCTAATCGACGTTAGTCGACGCTGAATCGACGCTAACCGACGCTTAATCGGCACTATCTCATCGATGACCGAACGCTAATCGACGCTAGGGCACTCGAAGGACAGAATTACGAGGGTACACTGCACCAGAGAAATTACTCCGACGGAAGGACCCCACATGAGAATCTCTTTAGCTTGCATGGGGGTATCCTCCTGCCCCTTCCCTTCTCCCACCTACTCTTGCCTCCTCGTTCTCCTCCTGTCTGCTCCTCCTCCTGCCTCAACCCCTGCCTCTTCCTCCTCTTCTTGCCTCCTCCCCCTCCTCCCTCTCCCCCTCGTTATGCTTCCTCCCCCCCATTCCCCCTGCCCCTCCTGCCTCCTGCCTCCTCCTCCTGCTCTCCCTCTCCCTTCTCCTCCTCCTCCTCCTCATCATCATCATCCCCTGTCCTCCTCCTCTCCCTCTCCCTCATCCGCTTCCTCCTCCTCCTCCTCCTCCTCCTCCTCGTTTCCATATTCCTCCCCCTCCTCCTCCTCCTCATCCTCCTCCTCCTCCTCCTCCTCCTCCTGCCTCCTCTTAGGCCTCCTGCCCCCTCCTGGGGCCTCCTGGGGCCTCTTGGGGCCTCCTGGGGCCTCTTGGGGCCTTCCGGGACCTACTGGGGCCTCCTCGGGCATTCCTCCTCCTCCTTTTCCTCCTCGTCCTTCCTCCCCTCAGCCTCTTCCTCTTCCTGCTTTCCTGTCTCGTCCTGCATCATCCCTCCTCCTTTTCCTGGCAATCCTCCTCCTCCTCCTCGTCCTCGTGCGGAACACGACCCAGAGGAAGCGCACGACGTGCGTCCCAGCCGATACGCGCCGGAGGACGACCCAGAGGAAACGCGCGCCGGAGGATGACCCGGAGGAACCACGTGAGCTGCGGGACCCATAGGAAGGCTCCCGCCTGACGCGTCCTCACAATTCACTCACAGACGAGGGTCCCGCTTGATACTTCTTCAAAATTCAGACCTGAGGAGCCCAAAAGTGACGACAGTTACAGGAATCCGATGACCCGCTCGGATTAATAACATGATCTGCGGGCCCCATAGGGAGGGGGCTCCCGCCTGAGACTTGCTCGAAATTCACTGACAAACGAGGCTCCCGCCTGATACTTCCTCCAAATTCAAACCTGAGGAGCCCAAAAGTGACGACGGTTACAAGAATCCGATGACCCGCTCGGATTAATAACATGATCTGCGGGCCCCATAAGGAAGGGGGCTCCCGCCTGAGACTTCCTCGCGATTCACTCACAGACGATGCTCCCGCTTGATACGTCCTCAAATTCAGACTTGAGGATCCCAAAAGTGACGACAGTTACATGAATCCGATGACCTGCTCGGATTAATAACATGATCTGCGGGCCCCTATAGGGAGGGGGCTCCCGCGTGAGACTTCCTCGCAATTCACTCACAGACGAGGCTCCCACCTGATACTTCCTCCAAATTCAAACCTGAGGAGCCCAAAAGTGACGACAGTTAGAGGAATCCGATGACCCGCTCGGATTAATCATACGATCTGCGGGCCCCATAGGGAGGGGGCTCCCGCCTGAGACTTCCTCGCAATTCACTCACAAACGAGGCTCCCGCTTGATACTTCCTCCAAATTTAAACCTGAGGAGCCCAAAAGTGACGACAGTTACAAGAATCCGATGACCCGCTCGGATTAGTAACATGATCTGCGGGCCCCATAGGGAGGGGGTTCCCGCCTGAGACCTCCTCACAATTCACTCACAGACGAGGCTCCCTCTTGGTGGATGATGGTGATGGGATGATGACGACGGTGTTTGATGATGATATATGATTGGTGATGATGATGATGATGATGATGATGATGATGATGATGATGATGATGATGATGATGATGATGGTGGTGGTGGTGATGATGACGACGTGATGATGATGATGGTGGTGATGATGAGTGCTGATGGTGAGTGATCGTGCGATTCTGATGCTAAATGGTGGTGATTATGATGGGGACGAAGTGGTGAGTCAGCGAGTAGTGATGATGATGATGATGATGATGATGATGATGATGATGATGATGATGATGATGATGATGATGATGATGATCGTTCGATGCCGATGATGGTGAGTGATCGTGCGATGGTGATGGTGATGCTGATGGTGATGATGATGATGAGTGGGGTGCGATGGTGATGGTGATGATGATGCGGAGGAGAAAGCAACGAGGAGCAGAGGAGAGGGAGGAGGACGAGAGATCCTGCGCGGAGGGTGTGCAGAGAAAACAAGAACCCCACTTAGGATGTGGGGAAAGACTGCTCGTTTTCAGGAACATTTGATTTCAGTTAGTCTAGTGGCGCGGCGCCGACAGGACATCCTAGATGGGGTCTGAGTAGATTGGGTCGGAGGACCGCGCCGCATCGCCGATGCATCGGCAATGCATCGGGGATGCATCGGCGATGCATCGGGGATGCATGCGATGCATCGGCGACGTCGGCATTGAGAACCTTGTGCCCCACATCGCGCCGCATCGCTGATGCATCGCCGATGCATCGGCGATGCAAGGGCGATGCGGCACGATCCTCCGACCACATTTACTATGTTTTCAATTGCTTTCAATCAGTTTTCAATTCAGGGGCCTCATCTAGGAGGCAAATCACATTTGCCTCAATCTAGGAGGCCTATCTAGGAGGCCTCAATATATACACTAAAAGGCCCCATCTGGGGGGCCTGTTTCACTGCTTTCAACTGTCAGGCTCCATCTAGGAGTCCTGGAACATTTGCTTCCCATTCGTCGATTTGCGCGGCGCCGACAGGACCTCGCCGCCCCGCCCCCCGAGAGGCTGCGGCCGCCGGTCGCCTTGCCCGCGCCGCCGACGCCCACGCTGCCGGCGCTGGCGGTGCTCCTGCGCGGCGGGGGCGCGCAGAGGTCGGCGCGAGCGACGCCCGCTGCGGCTGAGTCTTAAGTCGGGCCTGTCGCTCTTCAGGAGGAATATTCGAAAATGGTCGGACGTTTTTAGTTTATGTATATATATATATGTATATATACACATATATATATATATATATATATATATATATATATATGTAAACATTGTGGAATATATTTCTAATACTTTCAAATTTTCGTCCAAAGCCCCCCTGTAGGGGGGGGGACACGCCCAACCTAAGCTTAGTCCATAGGGGGCCACATGCGAAGCCTCCCCCTCCCTCCCACGACTTCTGAGGGGGAGGGGGGGGTCACTTCGCTCGGGAGCTCCCGAACGAAGCGAACCCCACCCTCCCCCCCTCAGAAGTCGGGGGGGGTAGTGTAAAAAAAAAAAAAAGCAAACAATAAAAGGAGAAATAACAGGAAAAAAGAAAATAAAAAATAACCCGCATCCAAAAGAACTCAAAAAAAAAAAAAAAATAAAAAAAAAATAAAAAAAAAAAATAAACAACCCAAAAAAGTGGAACGCAATGTGGCCCCCTAGTTTGGGAATGCTGAAAACAACTAATGATTTCTGGAGTCCCGAAACGGTGCAGTGACAGACCGTGCGGTGACCTCGAAATCCCCCAAGACCTCACCGCACGGTCCGTCGACGTACGGTTTTGGGACCTCGGAGGCCCCAATCGCCCGAGACGTTCTCGGAGAACGACCCGAGTCCCAAAACCGTGCGGTGACCCCGAATGCCGGCCGACTTACCACACGGTGTGGTCACCACCCCGTTTGGGGGCCCCCGATGGTTGAGCGGCCCAAGATCGCCGGAGTCGCGTCTCTCGACGATACGCAGACGATAGCATCAGGACCTGAAGCGCCGGCTGGGGGTTCACAATGCCGACGGAGGCACATCTATAAATCTCTGGCAACCAGGAACGCTGTTCGCCCCCCTGAGAGAAAACTGGAGGGTCCTTCCTGTATCATTATGGAGGGTAACGTTGCTCTCCTGATGTTCCGATGCTCCAGCGCCATGACTGATGAGGTTCCTCCCCCTCGGTAGCCCCCGCTGGCCTGAACAGGTTGCCCGAGTAGTCTGGGGCGGCCCGCGCGGTGTACAACATTGCAGCGGAGGCGCGGGGCTTACGCGCCTCCGCTGGGAGGCGCCCGGGGGGGCCTTCCCAGATCGGTCCGCGGCTCGCTCGACGACGACGACGACGACGACGACGACGACGACGACGACGACGACGACGACGACGACGACGACGACGACGACGACCGCTTCTGGCGGCGCCCCTGGGGCGCTCCGCCCCTGGGGCGCTCCGCCCCCGGGGCGCGCGGGGGCTCAAGACTACCCCGGACTGCTCGGGGGCCCGCTGCGGCCAGCCCCGTACGCAACCCGACGCCTTGCCAGACAAGAGGCGGCTGGCTCAGGAGACGCTCCGAGAGTTCCAAAGAGGAGCCGGCGGGCCTCGTTTCTCGGCAGGCCGCGGGGCATATATCGGGACATTCTGGGAGTCCTGGGGATCCAGGTACGCGTCATCGTCACGATACCCTGCTCCTCCGAAGGTTGACTTTCGGCCCTGCCAAGCCAAACATGTCGGCAATGTCTATATTCACATCCAGTGCGCCTGGGAATTTCAGGCTCTCTTCCCGAGAAACAGGAGGCGCACTGGATATGGACTACAATCGGCTTCTCGGCGCCCCTCCAAGAAAGTCCAAGACGCACTGGATATGGATAGAAGCATTGCCAGCAAAAGGAGGCGTACAGTCCTGGCGTTCACCCGACTAGCCACGGCTCCCCTCCGTCGGGCGTGGCAGGCTCCCCCGAGCCTTCCCCCAAATGCTCCCGCCGAGGGAATTCGCCGCCGAGACCTCGCCCGAGCCTGGCCCGAGGGAGCGGCCGCCGAAGGCTGCCCCAGACGTGCCCCGAGTGGCTGCCCGAATCTGCGCGCCTCCCCGCGCGCCGCGGAGGCCGAGGAGCTCCGCCCCGCGAGCACGCCGCCCCGAGAGCTGCCTGCCTGCAGCAGTATGGGTCGGAGGCCTGGAAATGGGCACCAACACCAACACAGGGGGTGCCTCCACAGGAGGCTAATGTTTCGATCGCCTTGGAAGCCAGGATATTACCACCATCACCGAGATCAGACTGGTGTTGGTGTCAATCTCTAAGCCTGCGAAGGGGGCAGCAACAGTCCACTCCGCAAACGCACCAAAGAGAAGGGATCGAGCAAGCAAAGCTGTTCAACATGATGGACCCACGAACCCGGAAAGGGATATAGACATGTGCAGCATGGTCACGTTTTCACGATACCCAACTGGGCGACACCCCACGAAACATCCCACGAGACACCCCGCGAAACATCCCACGAGACACCTCACGAAACATTCCACGAGACACCTCACGAAACATTCCACGAGACACCCCGTGAAACATTCCACGAGACACCCCGTGAACAGGCAACCACTCAACCAGACACACCACGAAACAGTCCACGGGGGTGCGACTGGGTGTGGTCGTGCTTGGGTGTGGTCGTGCTTGGGTGTGGTCGTGCTGGGGAGTGGTCGTGCTGGGGAGTAGTCGTGCTGGGGGGTGGTCGTGTTGGGGGGTAGTCGTGCTGGGGGTGTGGTCGTGCTGGGGGGTGGTCGTGCTGGGGCGTGGTCGTGCTGGGGCGTGGTCGTGCTGGGGCGTGGTCGTGCTGGGGTGTGGTCGTGCTGTGGTGAGGTCGTGCTGGGGTGTGGTCGTGTTGGGGTGTGGTCTTGCTGGGGTGGGGTCGTGCTGGGGTGGCGTCGTGCTGGGGTGTGGTCGTGCTGGGGTGTGGTCGTGCTGGGGTGGGGTCGTGCTGGGGCGTGGTCGTGCTGGGGTGTGGTCGTGCTGGGGTGTGGTCGTGCTGGGGTGTGGTCGTGCTGGGGCGTGGTCGTGCTGGGGCGTGGTCGTGCTGGGGCGTGGTCGTGCTGGGGTGAGGTCGTGCTGTGGTGAGGTCGTGCTGGGGTGTGGTCGTGTTGGGGTGTGGTCTTGCTGGGGTGGGGTCGTGCTGGGGTGGCGTCGTGCTGGGGTGTGGTCGTGCTGGGGTGTGGTCGTGCTGGGGTGTCGTGCTGGGGCGTGGTCGTGCTGGGGTGTGGTCGTGCTGGGGTGTGGTCGTGCTGGGGTGTGGTCGTGCTACGGTGGGGTCGTGCATTTCGCTCGAGACATCTTTCCGAAATTCAGCGAAATCCTAGAATAACAAACGAATTAGTCGAGACATCCTCGAAATTCCTGCGCGCGGGACGCGGCACGCGCGAGACATCCTCGGAATTCCTGCGCGAGGAGCGCTTTTCCGTGTCGCGGTCGGCTCTGCAAAACCAGCGTTTCGCTCGAGGCATCCTCAACAAATTCTGAAACAAGCGTTTCGCTCGAGACATCCCCAACTCTGCAAAACCAGCGTTTCGCTCGAGACATCCTCAACAAATTCTGAAAAACAAGCGTTTCGCTCGAGACATCCTCAAATTTTAATCTGCCGGCCTCCTTCGGCCTCGATATTTATCAGGGAAAAAATCCGCCGGCCTCCTTCAAGTTGGCACCGGGGGACATGTTTACATAGTAAAAGAGAACCCTGGGCCCCCGCCCTTTCCGGGAAAAAACGCCCAGGGCCGTTCCGTGACCGCCAACGACGCCCTCATCTTTTCGACACGACAACCCTGGAAATCCAGACCCTTTCCCCGGGGCTGTTTTTTCATCCCGAATCGTTGTTTGACGTCCCCGGGGCCCAGCGAGGGCTCCCGAGGGCCGAAAATAGTGAAAAACCTCCATCCGGATTTTTTAAAAATGCGATCATGTCTGGGGCTCTCCCCCCTCTAGAGGGGGGGAGAGCCCCAGACATGATTTTTTAACAACGCGATCCATCCGGATTTTTTAACAACCGAAAGCTTTCGGTTGCGGCGCCCGGCTGGTCGGAGGCCCTTTATGGCGAGCCGCAAAGTGGCAGCGGCCTGCACGGCCGATCCTGCCTACCGGCGGGGACCTCCGAGGGGGGGGGGTCGCCTGGCTCAGTTTGTCATGGCGCCCACGTCGCAGAGCGAGTTTCGTTCGGAAAACGATCAGATGGACCCGGAGCGTCCTGGAGAATCTCGTTCCGGATTTCGAGGTGAATGTCGCGCGACACACACATAAATACACACAAATTACAGGATTCACCATATTTTCCCATACTTTCTGGGTTTCTGCCTCCCCCCCTTTCCCCATATGTTCCCACATTTCCCTGGGGATCGACGATTACGATTAATTGTGTCGGGGATCTTCTGACTCGGGTCAATTCAGACCTGGGTCAGCAGGAAACCAAAAACCTGCGGTGCAGGCAAGAAAAACTGCAACGCAGGTCTTCGCAAACCCGGGTCAGCCAATAGACGCGGCCGCCTCGCGGCCACGAGCGGCTCGCTGACCCGGGTCAGCCAGGAGGGGGTCTTCGCAGGATCCTGCAGGATCCGGTGCACTGGCTGACCCCCGTTTACATTGACCCCCGTCTGGCGGCTCCCGACCCCAAACAAAGTCTCTTGGCCTGGCGGCATGGTCATGGGAAACCAACAGGTACCGATACCGCTTCTCCCCGGACCTCTCCCGGGGTGCGCTGTGACCAGGACTTCGAGGCGAATCCAGCGGTGGCGACGAGGGCCTCCCACGAGGCCGAAGCGGGGGAGAACGGCCGAAGGGTGGCGGCAGGGGTGCCTCTTCCTCCTCTGCGTGTCTGCGTGATTTTTCCCCTCCTCATCCGTGGCACCGCGGCCTGGTTAGACGGAGCGCCCGCCGCGGAGCATGCGCGCCGCGGCCTCTCTCCGAGCGCGCGCGTCGCCCCTATGCGGGGGGCCGGCGCGCGCCGCGGAAGACGGGCACCCCCTCGGCGGTGCCGAGGCTTCGTGTCGGGCAGGTCCCCCCTACAGGCGGGTGTTGGAGGAACGCTGGACAAATGGTCAAGAAAATAGGGAATCGAACTCTGACTGCACCGACGCGCCTTCCGGCCCTGCATTGGAATTTGTGCTGCAGGGCAGATCCTGGTGTATACGGGACCCTGGTGTATACGTGTTTCGTTGCTTCCCCGGGGAAGTGGGGAAATAAGTATACACCACACCACCCCAGCGCCGTCCTCGACCCTCAAGAAGTTGGGCATGTCCCCCTACAGTTGTGGGTGCCACGTCAATGATCACCCTGACAGTCCTTCATTGAATGTAAGATGTGTTTTTACAATGTCGGAAAATGTTCGAAACATGTTTTAAACATGATGATGGTTAACACATGTTTTAGACATCTGGAAATTGTTCGGCAACATGCTTCCTCTCCATTGATCGCCCTCCTCAACCCTACAGGCGGCTTTTGGAGGGATACATGAAAATAGTCAGAAGAACGATTCAAACAATATTCAAAAGTACTACAAAGAATCGTCCCCAGTACTACAAGTATATTCAAATATTCAATATTCAACAAAATATTCAAAAGTACTACAAGAGTACTACTACTTCTTGACTATTTCTGAACATGTCCCCTGTGGAGGGACAGGCCCGATGCCAGCCGAGGCGGGGGTGACTGCTCCGGCCCAGACCGCGACGCGCGAGGCGCGACGAGCTTCGCGCCCGCGCGGGCGACACTGGGGGAACGAACAACGACAGAAACCCATACCCATAGGGAGGTCGTTGGGAGGAGGACTGGCTATGGGTATGGGTGCGGGTTGTCGGACCCTGGGGAACGCTCCCGTTCGAGCGGGGACCCCCATCCGACAACACGCACCCATAGCCCTCTCTCCGATCCCCCTATGGGTATGGGTGTGTGTTGTTGGTTCGTCAACTGGGGGGAGGAACAACGACAGAAACATACAAACTCGGAGTGGTCCACGCGGCTTTCTCGGACTCCCATTATGGACAGTCCAATGGACCGCCTGCTTGAGGAGAGCCGGCGCCAGAGACTTACCAGCCTCGAGCTGATCCCTGTCCCTAAGAGTGACACGCCAGAAGGTGATGACAATCTCAGGGATGCGCCCTCAACATGATGGACCCACGAACCCGGAAAGGGATATAGACATGTGGAGCATGGGCACGTTTTCACGATACCCAACGGGGCAACACCTCACGAAACATCCCACGAGACACCTCACGAAACATCCCACGAGACACCTCCCGAAACATTCCGCGAGACACCTCACGAAACATTCCAGGAGACACCCCGCGAAACATTCCACGAGACACCCCACGAAACATTCCACGACGACAGGCAACCACTCAACCAAGGCGGTGTGGTCGTGCTGGGGTGTGGTCATGCTGGGTTGTGGTCGTGCTGGGGGGTGGTCGTGCTGGGGGGTGGTCGTGCTGGGGGGTGGACGTGCTAGGGGGTGGTTGTTGCTGGGGTGGGGTCGTGCTGTGGCGTGGTCGTGCTGGGGCGTGGTCTTGCTGGGGTGGTCCGCACCCTGTGATTTATCGATCGGGTCGTGCTGGGGTGTGGTCGTGCTGGGGTGTGGTCGTGCTGGGGTGTGGTCTTGCTGGGGTGTGGTCGTGCTGGGGGGGGGTGGTCGTGCTGGGGGGTGGTCGTGCTGCGTGGTCGTGCTGGGGCGTGGTCGTGCTGGGGCGTGGTCGTGCTGGAGTGTGGTCGTGGCTGGGTGGGTGGTCGTGCTGGGCGTGGGTCCCGTGCTGGGGGGCGTGGTCGTGATGGGCGTGGTCGTGCTGGGTGTTGTCGTGCTGGGGGGTGTCGTGCGGGGCGGGTCCGTGCTGGGGGGGTGTCGTGCCTGGGGGGTGGTGGTGCTGGGCTGGTCGTGCTGGGGTGTGGTCGTGCTGGGGGGGGGTCGTGCTTGGGTGGGGTCGTGCTGGGGTGTGGTCGTTCTGGGGTGTGATCGTGCTGGGGTGTGGTCGTGCTAGGGTGGGGTCGTGCTGGGGTGGGGTCGTGCTGGGGTGTGGTCGTGCTGGGGAGTGGTCGTGCTGGGGTGTGGTCGTGCTGGGGGGTGGTCGTGCTGGGGGGTGGTCGTGCTGGGGGGGTGGTCGTGCTGGGGGGTGGTCGTGCTGGGGCGTGGTCGTGCTGGGGCGTGGTCGTGCTGGGGTGTGGTCGTGCTGGGGAGTGGTCGTGCTGGGGTGTGGTCGTGCTGGGGGGTGGTCGTGCTGGGGCGTGGTCGTGCTGGGGCGTGGTCGTGCTGGGGTGTGGTCGTGCTGTGGTGAGGTCGTGCTGGGGTGTGGTCGTGCTGGGGTGTGGTCTTGCTGGGGTAGGGTCGTGCTGTGGTCGGGTCGTGCTGGGGTGTGGTCGTGCTGGGGTTCCATATGGTCGTGCTGGGGTGGGGTCGTGCTGGGGTGGGGTCGTGCTGGGGTCTGGTCGTGCTGGGGTGTGGTCGTGCTGGGGCATGGTCGTGCTAGGGTGGGGTCGTGCATTTCGCTCGAGACATCCTGCCAAAATTCCAGGAAATCGTACAAAAAACAAAGGAATTAGTCGAGACATCATCGAAATTCCTTCGCGCGGGGCGCTTTTCCGCGTCGCGGTCGGCTCTGCAAAACAAGCGTTTCGCTCGAGACATCCTCGGCAAACTCTGCGGAGCAAGCGTTTCGCTCGAGACATCCTCAACGCACGAAAAAGTGCCCCGCACCCTGTGATTTATCGATCGGGATTTCAAAAACAAGCGTTTCGCTCGAGACATCCTCAAATTTTAATTCGCCGGCCTCCTTCGACCTCGTTATTTATCAGGGAAAAAATTCGCCGGCCTCCCTCAAGCAGGCACCGGGGGATTAGGTTTACCAACTAAAAGAGAACCCTGGGCTCAGGCCCTTTCCGGGAAAAAATAAGGAGATCCTCGTGGACCACTCCGAATTTTGGTCCACGCGGGAACAGTCCAATGGACTCCCCCCCCCCCCCTCCCTGGCGCGCGGAGCGCGCCAGGGACGGCGCCGGAGGCGACGCCAGGGGCCCCAGCGCCGATCCGAGAAACCCGCGCGGACCTTTCCGAGTTTTCATGTTCACGTTACGTCGGGCGTGTCCCCCTACAGTGCGATGTTCGACGAAAACAAAGAACCCCAAACAGACCTTAAAATTGTCAAGCAATACTAGCAACATAGTCCCCAGAGTAATGTCTGGACTATTGAATACTCCTCATGTGGAGGGGCATGCCCGACTTAATGTTGATGTCGTTGTTCGTCCCCCAAGACATGGGAGGAGGGGCGGCGTCTCCTGACGCTGTGCCGGCTGCCGACGCTGAGCATGTCGGCGCCGTCCTGCTCCTCGGCGGCGGGGGGGGATGACGAAAGAGGGACGACGAGGAGGGGTGGATGTTAGGAGGCAACTACTGGGAGGTTTTCGTCGGAAAGATTGAAGAGGATTAAGCTCCATTTGGAAGCTATTACGCCGGAATGGGCCTTGGATTAAGCGGGATTAAGCGGGATCAAGCTAGATTAAGCCGCATTTCGGACCAGTGCAAAATCAGAATTTGACCTCCCAGGAGTTGCATCCCAATGGGTGGCGAGGCAGGATGGGACGGCGCTGGGAAGTCGAACAGGGAAGGGAGGGCGGAGCTTTTGTTAACGAAGCGAACTCTATTCACCGACGTGTTTTCCGACCCTGCGCTGAAAATCGCACAAGAACGCGGATCCTGGTGTATACGGGATCCTGGTGTATGCATGTTTCGTTGCTTCCCCGTGAAAAAGGGGGGAAACAAATACACCAAACCACCCCGACGTCGTCCCCGGCCCTCGGAAAGTCGTGGGATTGAAAAACGGCCCGCCATTGGTCATACATACATACATATATATATATATACATATATATGCTCAAATTTCCGACTTGTTGTTAGCCACCATCGGCCGAACCAATCAATGTGCGCCACCACCACCGGCCACAGCATGAGCACCTCCAGGCTCTTGGCGCTCACGCTCGGCGATGCGGGCACGACGCGCCTCGAGCCTGTCCAAACACAGTCGCGACGTTGACCTAAGGAACCCCAAATAAGGAACGAGGCCCCTGTTTCCCATCAGTTAAAGATCGATTTCCCATCGAAAACCTGAGGGAAACCAAAGGCAAGCTGTGAAACAATCAAGGAGCACGCAACCCCTCCCCAACGAAAAGGGTTCCTTCTTCAGCGCCCCGACTGTATGCGGCCTCGGGAAGGGAGGGCGGAGGGGAGACGAGGCCTGGGCCTGCAGAGTGGCCACAGCTGCGTGACGCGTCGGGGACGAGCGCGGCGCTTAGGACCGAAAGATGGAACACGCTGCAAGCCGCCCATTGGAGACACGCTGGAAACGCTGCCCGCGCGCCACGCCCACCTGCATCTGTGGTGTGTCGACCTCCCTTGCCGCGGGCAGCCAGCGTGAAACGGTCCCGACCGGCGCCAAGAATCGCTCGGATGCGCAATCCCCTAACAGGGAGGCTCTGGTGTTGGGGGGGGCCTTAGCATGCTCTGAGAGATTGCCACACCATCCGTACCCCTGCCCCTGACACAGCTCTCCGATCGGCCGGGGAGTGTAGGATGGAACAAGATCCCAACCCCTGGAAAACGAGACCATGATCCACGCACCGTGAAAGCACACAGGACTGCCGCTTCCCAAAAAAGTCGATGCTCACTGAAAGCGAACATCGCCTGGCTTCTGGGGGGCGGACTGCTGTTGTTTGCTGACAAACTTGGGGAACTCAAACATGATGGACCCACGAACCCGGAAAGGGATATAGACATGTGGAGCATGGACACGTTTTCATGATACCCAACTGGGCAACACCTCACGAAACATCCCACGAGACACCTCACGAAACAGCCCACGAGACACCTCACGAAACATTCCACGAGACACCTCACGAAACATTTCACGAGACACCCCGCGAAACATTCCACGAGACACCCCACGAAACATTCCACGACGACAGGCAACCACTCAACCAAGGCGGTGTGGTCGTGCTGGGGAGTGGTCGTGCTGGGGTGTGGTCGTGCTGGGGGGTGGTCGTGCTGGGGGGTGGTCGTGGGGGGTGGTCGTGCTGGGGGGTGGTCGTGCTGGGGCGTGGTCGTGCTGGGGCGTGGTCGTGCTGGGGCGTGGTCGTGCTGGGGCGTGGTCGTGCTGGGGCGTGGGTGTGGTCGTGCTGGGGTGTGGTCGTGCTGTGGTAAGGTCGTGCTGGGGTGCGGTCGTGCTGGGGTGTGGTCTTGCTGGGGTGGGGTCGTGCTGGGGTGTGATCGTGCTGGGGTGGGGTCGTGCTGGGGTGTGGTCGTGCTGGGGTGGTCGTGCTAGGGTGGGGTCGTGCTGGGGTGGGGTCGTGCTGGGGAGTGGTCGTGCTGGGGTGTGGTCGTGCTGGGGTGTGGTCATGCTGGGGCGTGGTCGTGCTGGGGTGGGGTCGTGCTGGGGTGGGGTCGTGCTGGGGTGGGTTCGTGCTGGGGTGCTCCGCACCCTGTGATTTATCGATCGGTCGTGCTGGGGTGGGTCGTGCTGGGGTGTGGTCGGCTGGGGTGGTCGTGCTGGGGTGTGGTCGTGCTGGGGTGTGGTCGTGCTGGGGTGTGGTCGTGCTGGGGTGTGGTCGTGCTGGGGTGTGGTCGTGCTGGGGGGTGGTCGTGCTGGGGGGGTGGTCGTGCTGGGGGGGTGGTCGTGCTGGGGCGTGGTCGTGCTGGGGCGTGGTCGTGCTGGGGCGTGGTCGTGCTGTGGTCGTGCTGTGGTGAGGTCGTGCTGGGGTGTGGTCGTGCTGGGGTGTGGTCTTGCTGGGGTAGGGTCGTGCTGGGGTCGGGTCGTGCTGGGGTGTGGTCGTGCTGGGGTATGGTCGTGCTGGGGTGGGGTCGTGCTGGGGTGGGGACGTGCTGGGGTCTGGTCGTGCTGGGGTGTGGTCGTGCTGGGGTATGGTCGTGCTAGGGTGGGGTCGTGCATTTCGCTCGAGACATCCTGCCAAAATTCCAGGAAATCGTACAAAAACAAACAAATTAGTCGAAACATCATCGAAATTCCTTCGCGCGGGGCGCTTTTCCGCGTCGCGGTCGGCTCTGCAAAACAAGCGTTTCGCTCGAGACATCCTCGGCAAACTCTGCGGAGCAAGCGTTTCGCTCGAGACATCCTCAACACACGAAAAAGTGGCCCGCACCCTGTGATTTATCGATCGGGATTTCAAAAACAAGCGTTTCGCTCGAGACATCCTCAAATTTTAATTCGCCGGCCTCCTTCGACCTCGTTATTTATCAGGGAAAAAATTCGCCGGCCTCCTTCAAGTTGGCACCGGGGGACAGGTTTACCCACTAAAAGAGAACCCTGGGCCCGCGCCCTTTCCGGGAAAAACACCGACACTGCTACTCCCCGAACCTCCCCCGGGGTGCGTTCTGACAAGCATCTCGAGGCGAATCCAGCGGTGGCGACGAGGAACTCCCTGGAGAGCGAAAAAGCGGAAAACGGGACAAGGGACGGTTGACGGGCAGGGGTATGGGTACGTCTTCCTCTTCTGAGAATTTGCCTGCGGTGTTGAGCTCTTGCTCGAATCCCCATGCTCTGACGGCGCGTTTCCCCCCCCTGCGCTCTGGGGGATCCTGTCGACTGCCGGCCTCCTGCCTGGTGGTCGCCTTCGCGGGCATCGCCTGGCCAGCGGGCTTCCGGAAGATGCAGACCTTCCGGAGGGGTGCAGGGGGGGGGGGGGGGGGGAGGGCAGCGCCTGACCCCTGCAGGCCCCTCGTCACTCCTCTCCCTCCCCATATCCTCCCGCGTGCTGCCTTTCCGTCTGCCTCCTGTCTCCCCCCCTGCGCCTCCTCCAAGCGCCCCGCTTCACTCCCGCCCCAGGTTCCGCCTCGCCGCTGCTTCCAGAGACGCGCCCTCCATGCATGTCCTCTACCCGGTTGCTTCCTCAAGTCCACCCTTGTGCCTTGCGCTCCCCTTCATTACTCTGGTCTCCCATTCTTGTCTCCAGCGCAATACCTTTGCCCCTCTATATGTCAGTATCTGCATCTGTCTCTAACTCTACCTTCTTCTCTCTTTCTCTCTCTCTCTGACTCGGTATGAAAGCTTATCTCCCTCTCTCTTTCTTTCTCTCTTACTCGGTCTTCCTCTCGCTCTCTCTCTCTCCCTCTCTTTCCATCCCAATCTCTGTATATATCTGTCTGTCTGCCTCTCTCTCTCTCACTCTCTGTCTCTGTCTCTATACATACACATTTACATCTGGCCCGTTCTGGCGAACCGGGAGAGTTCGTCAGAGCATCAGTGAGACTGGGAGGAGACGCCAACTGTACACCTGCATCGACCCTGGCCAGGCATCATTGCCTCGGCATCGGTGCGTACGCCATGCTGGCAAAGGCAGGCGCGGATGTACACCAATCCCTGGCCCAAGACTGGCCTGGCCAAGGTCGCTGCAAAGCGTATACGGGTCACGCGCTCTGTGAGAACCTCTCAGTGCCAACCGCGTGTTGGGAACCTGGGCATTCGAGCGTCGGTACCGCGTCGAGTCGGTACCGCGTCGAGCGGGGCTGGCAGACCTTGGCCTGGCAAATCGATTGTTCCGAGAAGATCCTGGGCGCATCAACGATCGCCCAAGAAATGCCAAACCGCGCTCCCCTTCCCCCCCCCCCGCGCGTGTCAGGAGAAGCACGGCCCCATTCGAGGGTTGCCACTTACTCACGGCTGCCTGCCTGGACGGGCACAGAGAGAAGAGGGACGCAGGACGAGCACGAATAGCAGAGGCGGCAACAACGATCACGACGACGGCTGCAAGGGGCAGGAGGAGGCAAACGAACATGAAATGAAGAGGCCACAGGGACGACAACGGTGGAGACAGCGAAGAGGACGAGGACATCGAGGGGACCTCAGAGCCTTGCTCCCACCTGGTGCGCCGTAGCAATGTTAAAACTGCAACAGACATTGCACGCGAAGGGCATGGCTACCTCACGCCTTACGTAAAGGGATGCCTGCCTCACCCTTCCTCAGGTTCGAGATAAGCACCCTGACCCCGACGTCATACTGTCGGGGCGATGACCACAGGAACACTGAATAAGTGACGAGGCCCCTCTGTTCCATGAATTACTCTTCGGTTTCCCGTCGGGGACATCAGGAACACCTGAGGCAAACTGTGAATCAATGGAGGAATACGGAGCCCCTCCCCAACGAGAAGGATTCCTTCTTCATCGACCCGACTGCAATGTTTGTCGTGTGGTCTCCTAGGAGTCTTCGAGAAGCAGCAACGGTGTCAATGACACGTCGCCGCGGGAAGCCCATCAGCGTGTTACCCTTGGAGAGAAACACCAGACCCTCGGGCACACGACAGAGAATACTGCAGAGACTGGCTACCGCCGGCAGCGTGCCGTTGCTACAGTCGGGACGTTGACCAAGGAGCCCTCGAGAAGGAACGAGGCCCCTTTTCCCATCCATTGAAACTCGATGTCCCATCGAAAACCTACGGGAAACCTAAGGCAATCTGTGAACCAATCAAGGAACACGGAGCCCCTCCCCAACGAGATGGGTTCCTTCTTCAGCGCCCCGACTGGACTCCTTCCCCCTCCCGGGGGTACGGACCCTTGCTGGGGATCGCCTTTTCACCGTGCGTCGTGCTGCAGAGGCCCTGGGCCACCGCGAGGGCCCCCCACAGGCCAAACCTTGCGAGCGCCTTCCGTCGCGACTTTGTCACGACGCGAGGTCCCAATACGGCTGGACAAGTGACAGTCTCCGGAAACCGTGGATACAACGACGCCGACGTCTCCATTTTACTCGGCCGTGCGCAAGAACGTCGCCACGTAAGCGTGACCTCGGGTGCGTGGCCTGCCGATCGTGGCATGCGGTGGGAAAGCAGCGGCGTCCTCGCTTGAATTTGGGCATCCTTGCACCTCGGCATCAACGCACCAAAGGTCACTATGGCGAAGAGTCGCTCTTGTAGGACGAGAACGATGTCACGATAGGCTTGACCCGGGACAAAGTTCGGGATATCCGAGGAGTATCTGGCGGCCCTAGTTTCTGCAGCCCGTGGGGAGCATGTGGAAAGCCCGGAAGCCCTGGAAATCTTGGAGCGTGTCCTTATCATCACCTCTGGTGATTTGCGCCGCCTTTGGCTGACCCGGTTGTTTTCCGACTCTGGGTCAGGATCCTGCACACGAGCCAGGGTCAATGGACCCCGGGCCCCTGCCTCTGCAGAATCCTGCAAGCTTCGGCGCTCTGGCTGGCGCCGTTCGTCTTGACCCCCGTCCCTGGAGCCCCGAGGCTCAGAAGAACGCTCTATTTTTGGGGAGGATGAGGAGGATGAGGGGGAGGAGGCGAAGGAGAAGGAGGACAGGAGAAGGACAGGAGGAGGAGGCGGAGGCGGAGGGAGAAGGAGGGGGAGGACAAGGGGGAGGGGGGGAGGAGGAGGAGGAGGAGGAGGAGGAGGAGGAGGAGGAGGAGGAGGAGGAGGAGGAGGAGGAGGAGGAGGGAGAGGAGGAGGGAGAGGAGGAGGAGTAGGAGGAGAAGAGAAAGGAGGAAGAGGAAAGGAGGAAAGGGGGACAGGAGGAGGAGGAGGAGGAGGAGGAGAGGGAGGAGGAGAAGGAGGAGGAGGAGAAAGAGGAGGAAGAGGAAAGGAGGAAAGGAGGACAGGAGGAGGAGGAGGGGGAGGAGGAGGAGGAGGAGGAGGAGGAGGAAGGACCCCGACGCCTTCTGCCAGCCTGCCGCCCTGCGGCCCCGCCGCCCTGCGGCCACGACGTCGTGGCCCGACCTCAGGCCGGCCGGCCTTCCGCCGCGCGCTTCCCTCGCAGACCGGCGAGGCGAGCCGACGGCGATCGCGGCCCTCCCTGGAGCGCCCGGGGCAGAAACGGGCCGCCGAGCTGGCAGGCGAGTCCCGGCTACGTGCAGGCGCGTGCGCACTGAACGCAAGAGGAAGAGAGGAGGAAGAAAGGAGGAGAGGAGGAGTAGGAAGGAGAGGAGGAGAGGAGGAGGAGAGGAGGAAGAGGAGGATGAGGACGAGGACGGGACAAGGACAAAGATGATGGTTTTGGCAACGCGGCCACGAGCACACTCCTCGGCGCGAGCCCGACGGGGCTCGCGCAGCACGGCACGCAGCAGCTAAAGGCTGCGCGCTCAGGTAAGCCCCAATTGGGGCCGACTGCACCCCAGCGTAGAGCTGATTGAGAACATTCCGGACCAAGAAAACGGCCTTCACTCGAAGCGTGTTCTTGACCAGGAGTCCAGGTGCAGACATGCGAACGTTCTGCGACGAAAGGAAGCTCCAACAGAAATGCCCAGGGCGCAGTCCAGATGCTTTACTCTGTCGAGCGAAATCTGGAGTCCATGGAATGTGATGCTTCCTCTTCAAATGCCTGGTGGATGTAGGCGTGCTTAGCCCGGATTGAGCCCAGGATGAAGCCGGAGGTCAGGTGGGATTGAGCGGAACTGATCGGCAAAATGCTGGGTCAGGACGGTCTTCGACCACGGACATTGCCAGCACCGACGAGAAGTTGGAGCTCCCAGGAGTCGCATCCGAAGCCGAGGAGGGGGAGCGAAGGGGCCCAGAAATGCGAGGCGGTGGGCGTCACAGCCGCCGCCTGGGCGATCGATCCGTGGCGACCTCGGCAGGCAGTGGATATGGACACGCTGGGCTCCCCCGGGGGCTCGAGCGTGCCCCTGCCCACCGCCTGCCGAGGTCTCCAACGATCGATGCCCTACGCGGCGGGTCTGGACTTGAGCACGGACGGGCCGTCCCGGCATTCCTATAGGCCAACAAGCACATGTTCGCAGGACCCAAAAGATGTTCGTCAACATGATGGACCCACGAACCCGGAAAGGGATAAAGACATGTGCAGCATGGTCACGTTTTCACGATACCCAACTGGGCGACATCTCACGAAACATCCCACGAGACACCCCGCGAAACATCCCACGAGACACCTCACGAAACATTCCACGAGACACCTCACGAAACATTCCACGAGACACCCCGTGAAACATTCCACGAGACACCCCACGAACAGGCAACCACTCAACCAGACACGCCACGAAACATTCCACGGGGGTGCGACTGGGTGTGGTCGTGCTGGGGTGTGGTCGTGCTGGGGTGTGGTCGTGCTGGGGAGTGGTCGTGCTGGGGTGTGGTCGTGCTGGGGTGTGGTCGTGCTGGGGGGTGGTCGTGCTGGGGGGGTGGTCGTGCTGGGGGGTGGTCGTGCTGGGGGGGTGGTCGTGCTGGGGCGTGGTCGTGCCACCCCGCGAAACATCCCACGAGACACCTCACGAAACATTCCACGAGACACCTCACGAAACATTCCACGAGACACCCTTTGAAACATTCCACGAGACACCCCACGAACAGGCAACCACTCAACCAGACACGCCACGAAACATTCCACGGGGGTGCGACTGGGTGTGGTCGTGCTGGGGTGTGGTCGTGCTGGGGTGTGGTCGTGCTGGGGAGTGGGTCGTGCTGGGGTGTGGCGTGCTGGGGTGTGGTCGTGCTGGGGGGTGGTCGTGCTGGGGGGGGTGGTCGTGCTGGGGGGTGGTCGTGCTGGGGTGGTCGTGCTGGGGCGTGGTTCTGGGGCGTGGTCGTGCTGGGGTGTGGTCGTGCTGTGGTGAGGTCGTGCTGGGGTGTGGTCGTGCTGGGGTGTGGTCTTGCTGGGGTAGGGTCGTGCTGGGGTCGGGTCGTGCTGGGGTGTGGTCGTGCTGGGGTATGGTCGTGCTGGGGTGGGGTCGTGCTGGGGTGGGGTCGTGCTGGGGTCTGGTCGTGCTGGGGTGTGGTCGTGCTGGGGTATGGTCGTGCTAGGGTGGGGTCGTGCATTTCGCTCGAGACATCCTGCCAAAATTCCAGGAAATCGTACAAAAACAAAGGAATTAGTCGAGACATCATCGAAATTCCTTCGCGCGGGGCGCTTTTCCGCGTCGCGGTCGGCTCTGCAAAACAAGCGTTTCGCTCGAGACATCCTCGGCAAACTCTGCGGAGCAAGCGTTTCGCTCGAGACATCCTCAACACACGAAAAAGTGGCCCGCACCCTGTGATTTATCGATCGGGATTTCAAAAACAAGCGTTTCGCTCGAGACATCCTCAAATTTTAATTCGCCGGCCTCCTTCGACCTCGATATTTATCAGGGAAAAAATTCGCCGGCCTCCTTCAAGTTGGCACCGGGGGATTAGGTTTACCAACTAAAAGAGAACCCTGGGCTCGAGCCCTTTCCGGGAAAAAACGAAAGCGGTGCTCTTATAACATAAACCAGATGCCTTAAAACAAGACGGCCTCAGCCAGACATGTTCTAAGAACATGCATTGCAGACCACAAAGAGGTCTTAGAACATTATTTGGTGGGCGAGCCAGGACGCTTCGCCACTGCTTGAGGTACACCCCCCCCGCCTCGGCAGACCTCGGGCCGGCGGGGGCCAATGCACGCGGGCCCGCCGCGCGTCGGTCTCGTAGCACATCCCATCGCCATCGCAGGGGGTCGCTCGACGTGCGGGGTTGGGCCCAGATCTGAACCTCGACCCCGAGACTGCGCACCGCACGTCGATGACCCTCAGGACGCGTTCTTCATAAGAGGGGGGAAGGGGCCAGGGGGGGTTATAATGTAACGCCTCCCCCCCGTCGTGCGCACGGCGGCAGTGCCTGGAGCGCACTGGGGGGGCAGGGGCGTTGGGTTATAGGGGGGGAGGGGGGCCGGGGGCTATAATGCCCATGTTGCCCCAAGCAATAAAAAACCTCAGGACGCGTGTTCGCGACACCTTGCGCTTGTCCTCCGAAGTCGAGCATCCTCGGGCCAGCACTCGGCGGCGAGCCTGGGGGGGAACTGAGAAGGGGGAGGCCTTCTCAGAAAACTCGGACGTCCCCCGGCCTTCTTAGAAGTCTCTTCTAAGCCTACCCCGAAGACGTACATCCTCTCAAATGCTCGAGGCCTTATCCGTCTCATTTTCCCCCCTCGCTCGCCGCCGAAACATGTTGCTTTTGTTCCGCCGCGGCGCGGCAAAGGCGATCTGCTTGCGCGTGGAATCCATCCGGGCTGCGGAGTTGCGACTTGTCCCGCGTGCAGAAGAGGGGGGAAGGGGCAGAAGAGGGCGGCCGCGGAGGGGGACGAGGGCGGGGGGGGGATGGGGGGGGCGCACGAACACGTCCCGAGGATCCTCGAGCATGGTCGAAACACCGAAACACGCTGTCCCGAGGATCCTCTCGCCGCCGAAACACACGCGTCCCGAGGATTCTCGAGCATGGCCCGCGAGACAGCGTTTCGGCAGACTCGGCGCGGCGAGCGCGCGCGCGCCACGCCTCCCTTCGCGCGAGCCCGGGCGGGGGTTCGCCGTCGGGAGGCCGAACTCGCCGGCCGACGATGGCCACCGCCGCCGCGGCAGGTCCGGCGCGCAGGGGGAGGATGAGGAGGAGGAGGAGGAGGAGGAGGAGGGAAGAGGAGGAGGAGGGCAGAGAAGAGGGAGGAGGGGAGCGGGGAGCAGGGGAGGAGGAGGAGGAGGAGGAGGAGGAGGAGGGGGAGGACGGGGAGCAGGAGGAGGAGGAGGAGGAGGAGGAGGAGGAGGAGGAGGGGGAGGAGGAGGAAGGAGAGGAGGAGGGACGGGGAGCAGGAGGAGGAGGAGGAGGGGGAGGAGGAGAGGAGGCGGAGGAGGAGGGGAGGAGGAGAGGGGGAGGAGGAGGACGGGGAGCAGGAGGATGAGGAGGAGGAAACAGAGGAGGAGGAAGGAGGAGGAGGAGGACGGGGAGTAGGAGGAGCAGGAAGAGGAGGGGGAGGAGGGAGGAGGAGGAGGAGGAGGAGGGGGAGGAGGAGGAGGAGGGGAGGAGGGCCATCAGGACGAGGAGGAGGAGGAGCAGGAGGAGGAGGGGGAGCAGGAGGGGGTCGAGGAGGAGGAGGTGGAGGAGGAGGAGGAGGAGGAAAAGGAGGATGGGGGGGCCGCGGGCCTTCTCCTTGGCGGCGCGGGCCTCGTCGTCCTTCTGCTGCTGGGCCTGCCGCCTCGCTTGCTCGGCGCGCTCCTGGGGCTATGGGGCGCGCGCGCAAGAGGGCTGCGCTGGTGGGCTTGTTTCCTACGACGACGACCACCACCACCACCACCACCACCACCACCACAGTTAGTAGGAGGGGGAGGGGGTCCTCCTCCTCCTCCTCCTCCTCCACCTCCTCGTCCTCCTCCTCCTAGGAGGAAAACAAACCTACCTCGCTTTTGACCACCCTCGCTTCCAAGAGATACCAAACGATGCCAAATTGCAGCCTGTACTGGTCAGGCCGCTTGACGAGGAGGCGCGTGGTATGGCTTGGTTTTGCCTGGAAGCGAAAGCGGGGTAGGTAATTCACGCTCTGACCTCTTCCTCCTCCTCCTCCTCCCCCTCCTCCTCCTCCTCCTCCACCTCCTCCAACTTATGGTGGTGGTGGTGGTGGAAAACAAGCCCATGAGCGCCCCGGCGGCGGAGCCCGCGCGGCGCCGTCATGTGGAAAGCGGGGCTCGAGCTGCCAGACCGTGCTTTCCAGTTTTGCTTGGTGCGCGTTGTCCCTCGCGCTGCCTTCGCACTGCGCGCTCCAATGAGGGAGGCGTGCTCTGCGCGTGTGAGGAAGTTAGTGCTGCAAGCGTGGCAACCGGATCCCGTGTGCGGATGGGTCTTGGATGGACATGTTGAGGCGATGATGCCTCGCATGAGCGAGGCTATCTGCGTCAGGTCGGGCATGTCCTCCTGCAGGCAGATGTGGGCAGAGAAACAAAACAAGAGCCAGAACACAGACTCGAGCATAGCCAGAACAGGCTCAGAACATCGTTCAGAGACCATGTTTGTGACTATCGCTGCACACCCTCCTCCTGTAGAGGGACCTGCCCGACCTGATATCAGTGCGGAGCGGCAGTGTGGAGGCTCTGATGGCAACGCTGGGGCGGGGCCTCCGGGGCGGGGCGATCGCGCGCGCGGCCCGACGCCCCGCCGCCGGAGCCGCCCGTGCCCCGCGTGGCGCTGGGAGCGGGGCTCGAGCGAGACGGTGCTCTCCGTGCCCGCTGCGAACGCTGCGCTGTCGCAGAGGGGGGCCCAAGTCCCTGCCACAACCAGCCTCGAACGTATCCCTATCCCTGAGATGGGCGAGCAAGAAGCGAGGACAGTCTTAGGGGTAGGCCCTCAGAAACCGAGGGAATCCTTGAGATCGGCATCGAGGTGAGGTGATGTCAAACATAGGGATAGGGATATGTTTGTTTCGAACTGGTAATGTCACAAGGGGGGGGAGGGCACTTCCACAGGGGAGCCCAGTCATATCAGGAGAACAACTATGGGGCCCGGCGAAAGGGCGGGATAGCAAAGGGGGGGTTTGAGGATCAGGCCACGTAGCTGATTTTCCCAGCGCCTCCCGGCGCCGGAGGCGGCCATGTATCGAGGAATGGGCCCGGCGGCGGGGCCGAAACCAGCTGCATGCAGCAGATTTCGTAACCCCCCCTTTCCCACTCCCCCCCTTTCCTCCGGCCCGAAACTCACGCTGTCCTAAGAACAGCCGTCGCAAGAACAGTCCTCTCGAATCATACGAAACACCCTCTCGCATCACAAGAACGACTCGCCCTTGCCATACGAAAGCTCACGGAATCGTAAGAAAATACCACTTTCCCCGCATCGTGTTCGTGCTCCCTCGTTCCGTCTTCGTTTCTGCCTTTCAATGGGGCGAAATCAACACGAAAACGACGCACGAAATGGCCCAAAACACCGTGTGGCTCGAACCCTGGGCGGGAGAGCGAAGGAGCGACGGGGTCTACACCTCCTCCTCCTCCTCCTCCTCCTCCTCCTCCTCCTCCTCCTCCCTCCTCCTCCTCCCTCCTCCTCCTCCTCCTCCTCCTCCTCCCTCTCTCCTCCTCCTCCTCCTCCTCCTCCGTCCTCCTCCTCGTCCTCGTCTCCTCCTCCTCCTCCTCCTCATTCCTCTCCTCCTCCCTCCTCCTCCTCCCCTCCTCCTCCTCCTCTCCTCACCCCTTTCCACCCCTCCTCCCGCCCCCCTCCCCTACCCCCCTCCTCCTCCTCCCCCTCTTCCCTTGCCGGGCGCCAGGAGGGCGAGCACACGCGCCGCTCCTGGGCGCAGGACGGGCCTGGCCAGGGGACAGCCGGCGTGCGTGAGGCTGCTGCGGCAGGCTCGCGTCGTGCCGCATTCGGCGTTGGCTTCTGACAGAGCGGAGATCGTTCAAGATTTCGGGGAACGAAACAATGGCATAAGCATAAAATTCGGAGGGCCGCGCGGATTTCTCGGATCGGCGCTGGACCCCCTTCCCTGGCGCGCGGAGCGCGCCAGGGGCGGCGCCGGAGGCGCCGCCAAGGGGGTCCAGCACCGATCCGAGAAATCCGCGCGGACCTCCGCGTTGGCCGTTGCCGAAACGTCAACTCGTTCAACTCCGACCGATTCTGGGTCGCCAACGGCGTTCCTTGTTGAACGCCGGACGGCGGCGGGGTCGCCGCCGGTCGACACGACGCGAACCCGCCGTGCTTGCATGAGGGGGGGGGGGGGCACGGGAGGAAGGAGGGGGCGTGGCGACGTCCTTCGGTGCTTTTCCTGGGGGGCCTCCCCCCCACTCGCGCGTCGAGCTTGCGTCGGAGGTCCGTCGACTGGAGTGGCCGATGCGCGTGAGGCTATGGCTTGCAGGGGCGGTGCACGGGGGGGGGGACGGGACGTGGCACAAGGTCCTCAGGTGATCGTCCTGGGGGCCGTCGCTCCACTCGTGCGTCGGAGGTCCGTCGACGGGAGTCGAACTCGGGTCGAGCTTACATCGAGCCAGGCTCGGCGGGACCGAAGTCGAACTCGGACGGGAGTCGAACTCGGGTCGAGCTTAAATCGAGCCAGACTCCGTCGACGGGAGTCGAACTCGGGTCGGAACTCGAAGTATCAGGCGGGTCCCAGGAAGGCGCGTGTACCCCTACAGGGGGGCTTGTGGGCGAAGGAACACATACTAGAAACATACCCCCAAATGGGGAAACAAATTTGAAACCTCGTATCCAAACTGTTTGTGTTACGCTATTCTTGAGCATCCCCCTGTAACCCGAGGAAGCCTTTAAGATTTAAGACCCCCCCGGGGTTATCGCTATCACCGCACCAGGATTTAATATTTCCAGGGAGGCGTTTTCGCAGAGCGATATCTTTAGCACCTCGCGCATATCAAACAAAACAATCCGTAGCGCGTCGCGCGCCGCGCGCCGCGCAAGAAGAAATCCTTGGAGATGCCTTTGGATTTGCTGTGCCGAAGTAAAGCTTCCAGGGTGCCGGATGCGTTATACTTTCACCGGGTGAGGGGGCGGGCTCTTAAGTGCTTCCTGGGGTTAGAGGGACAGGCCCGACTGAAACATGATGGACCCACGAACCCGGAAAGGGATATAGACATGTGGAGCATGGGCACGTTTTCACGATACCCAACGGGGCAACACCTCACGAAACATCCCACGAGACACCTCACGAAACATCCCACGAGACACCTCACGAAACATTCCGCGAGACACCTCACGAAACATTCCACGAGGCACCCCGCGAAACATTCCACGGGACACCCCACGAAACATTCCACGACGACAGGCAACCACTCAACCAAGGCGGTGTGGTCGTGCTGGGGAGTGGTCGTGCTGGGGTGTGGTCGTGCTGGGGGTGGTCGTGCTGGGGTGTGGTCGTGCTGGGGGGGTGGTCGTGCTGGGGGGTGGTTGTGCTGGGGCGTGGTCGTGCTGGGGCGTGTCGTGCTGGGGCGTGGTCGTGCTGGGGTGTGGTCGTGCTGTGGTGAGGTCGTGCTGGGGTGTGGTCGTGCTGTGGTCTTGCTGATGGGGTGTGCGTGCTGGGGCGTGGTCGTGCTGGGGCGTGGTCGTGCTGGGGCGTGGTCGTGCTGGGGTGTGGTCGTGCTGTGGTGGGTCGTGCTGGGGTGTGGTCGTGCTGGGGTGTGGTCTTGCTGGGGTGGGGTCGTGCGTGCTGGGGTGTGGTCGTGCTGGGGTGTGGTCGTGCTGGGGTGGGGTGTGGTCGTGCTGGGGGTGTGGTCGTGCGTGGTCGTGCTAGGGTGGGGTCGTGCTGGGGTGGGGTCGTGCTGGGGTGTGGTCGTGCTGGGGTGTGGTCGTGCTGGGGTGTGGTCGTGCTGGGGCGTGGTCGTGCTGGGGCGTGGTCGTGCTGTGGGTCGTGCTGGGGTGTGGTCGTGCGTGCTGGGGTCTGGTCGCTTGGGTGGTCTGGTGCTGGGGTGGTCGTGTCTGGGGTGGTGGTTCGTGTGGGGTGTCGTGTCGTGCTGGGTGTGGTCGTGCTGGGGGAGTGGTCGTGCTGGGGTGTGGTCGTGCTGGGGAGTGGTCGTGCTGTCGTGTCTGGGGCGTGGTCGTGCTGGGGTGTGGTCGTGCTGGGGTGTGGTGTGGTGAGGTCGTGCTGGGTGTGGTCGTGCTGGGGTGTGGTCTTGCTGGGGTAGGGTCGTGCTGGGGTCGGGTCGTGCTGGGGTGTGGTCGTGCTGGGGTATGGTCGTGCTGGGGTGGGGTCGTGCTGGGGTGGGGTCGTGCTGGGGTCTGGTCGTGCTGGGGTGTGGTCGTGCTGGGGTATGGTCGTGCTAGGGTGGGGTCGTGCATTTCGCTCGAGACATCCTGCCAAAATTCCAGGAAATCGTACAAAAACAAAGGAATTAGTCGAGACATCATCGAAATTCCTTCGCGCGGGGCGCTTTTCCGCGTCGCGGTCGGCTCTGCAAAACAAGCGTTTCGCTCGAGACATCCTCGGCAAACTCTGCGGAGCAAGCGTTTCGCTCGAGACATCCTCAACACACGAAAAAGTGGCCCGCACCCTGTGATTTATCGATCGGGATTTCAAAAACAAGCGTTTCGCTCGAGACATCCTCAAATTTTAATTCGCCGGCCTCCTTCGACCTCGTTATTTATCAGGGAAAAAATTCGCCGGCCTCCCTCAAGCAGGCACCGGGGGATTAGGTTTACCAACTAAAAGAGAACCCTGGGCTCAGGCCCTTTCCGGGAAAAAGTAGACCTGCCCGAGCCGAAGGCAAAACGCCCTGCGACGAGTCGAATCC